TGTAGAGTGCGTGCGCTCGCCAGACAGACAGACAGAGACATAGAGACAGAAAGTGAGAAATCACCCCCCAGGGGGGATGGTCACGCTGCAATCCCTTCTCCTCCATTCTCCTCTCGGGATCACGCCTGGTGTGAGTTTTAAGCTGCCCGGTCTGAGACTCAAACAGCAGTCAACTATGTGGACAGAGTCCAACGATGTAACCATTATACCATCTGCTGGTCCCTTAATGTGATTATTGATAGAATTAAGTTTGAATACCATATTGCTATTTTCTTCCTTTTTTTAAAGTTCTGTTTTGCTAAAGGGTGTGTGCATTCTCCAGAGAGGATGTGGGGGTAGGGTGAGGGAAAAAGCACCCCCTAATGGGGCATGGCAACCCTGCAATCCCTTTTCCTCCATTTTGCCATTCTGTTGGGATTTTGAGTACACACACACACACACACACACACACACGCATGCAGCATGTCTTTCAAGCTGCCGGGTCTGAAATGTGAACCACATGGTCAACCCTGCGGGATCTGGCCCTTTCAACTACTAGGTCATGGGGTTGGCCCTAAAGTACTTTTATTAAGCCTATTTATGATCAAGAAAGTTCTTTTACCCTACACCCTATTGCCTCATTTTTTGGGTAGAGATATTCTTTTGATTTACTCAGTTGAAAAAAATAGGTAAAGCTAAACCACTTGGACCCAGAGGCTGTTTAGGGATTGAAAGAAGCCTAGACCTAAGGACAGAAGACTTGAGTTCTGGTCTGAGCATTATGTCTTGACAGCTCAGAGTCCTAATGCGTCTTTACCTCTCTGAGCCTCTGTGGCCTTGTCTGTAAAGTAGGAGCGGCAACACTTGCCTTGGCTACCCCATAGTGTTCACCCAAAGACTGTGTAAAGGGGAAGACAGCAGGTGGCATGGTGGTTGAGGCGCTGGACTACCACATGGCCAATTATGGTTCAAGTCCTGGACTCGGCAGCTTAGTTTCTCACTTTTCCTCTCTTTCTCTGGTGAGTGCACATGCCCTATGGCAAATTTAAAAATAATAATAAAGAAAATTAAACTTTTTTTTTTTTTTTTTTAAAAGACTATAAGAGGTAACTTGACAAAAATGGCACCTAACTTTACAGGATTTTTATTTTAAAGCTCTTGAGGTTTTTTAAGAATTTTTTTTATTTAACTTTATTCATTTATTTAGTTTACTTTGACCAGCAAAGGACAGAGAGAGAGACAGAGAGAGAGAGAGAAAGTGAGAAAGTAAGCTTCCAAGTCTGGCACTTGAACTGTAGTCGGCCATGTGGGAATCCAGTGCCCTTAGCCACCTTGCCACCTACTGGCCCCTAGAACAGCATGTTTCTGAAAGGGCCTAGGCCTTAAGGATGGAATTTGGGAGAGTTAAGAAATGCCGTGCTCTAGTTCTTTTTTTTTATTTTTTAGACATTTTGCCATAGGGCATGTGCACTTACCTGAGAGACAGAGAGATAGAAGGCATAAGACACCCCCATGGGGATGGCCACTCCAGAGTTTCCTCTCCTCCATTCTATCCTCAGGATTTTGGGCACACATGCACATACGTCCATCATGAGTTTCAAGCCTCTGGGTCTGGACTTGAATTGCAGTTGGCACACACACACGCATGCAGCATGTCTTTCAAGCTGCCGGGTCTGAAATGTGAACCACATGGTCAACCCTGCGGGATCTGGCCCTTTCAACTACTAGGTCATGGGGTTGGCCCTAAAGTACTTTTATTAAGCCTATTTATGATCAAGAAAGTTCTTTTACCCTACACCCTATTGCCTCATTTTTTGGGTAGAGATATTCTTTTGATTTACTCAGTTGAAAAAAATAGGTAAAGCTAAACCACTTGGACCCAGAGGCTGTTTAGGGATTGAAAGAAGCCTAGACCTAAGGACAGAAGACTTGAGTTCTGGTCTGAGCATTATGTCTTGACAGCTCAGAGTCCTAATGCGTCTTTACCTCTCTGAGCCTCTGTGGCCTTGTCTGTAAAGTAGGAGCGGCAACACTTGCCTTGGCTACCCCATAGTGTTCACCCAAAGACTGTGTAAAGGGGAAGACAGCAGGTGGCATGGTGGTTGAGGCGCTGGACTACCACATGGCCAATTATGGTTCAAGTCCTGGACTCGGCAGCTTAGTTTCTCACTTTTCCTCTCTTTCTCTGGTGAGTGCACATGCCCTATGGCAAATTTAAAAATAATAATAAAGAAAATTAAACTTTTTTTTTTTTTTTTTTAAAAGACTATAAGAGGTAACTTGACAAAAATGGCACCTAACTTTACAGGATTTTTATTTTAAAGCTCTTGAGGTTTTTTAAGAATTTTTTTTATTTAACTTTATTCATTTATTTAGTTTACTTTGACCAGCAAAGGACAGAGAGAGAGACAGAGAGAGAGAGAGAAAGTGAGAAAGTAAGCTTCCAAGTCTGGCACTTGAACTGTAGTCGGCCATGTGGGAATCCAGTGCCCTTAGCCACCTTGCCACCTACTGGCCCCTAGAACAGCATGTTTCTGAAAGGGCCTAGGCCTTAAGGATGGAATTTGGGAGAGTTAAGAAATGCCGTGCTCTAGTTCTTTTTTTTTATTTTTTAGACATTTTGCCATAGGGCATGTGCACTTACCTGAGAGACAGAGAGATAGAAGGCATAAGACACCCCCATGGGGATGGCCACTCCAGAGTTTCCTCTCCTCCATTCTATCCTCAGGATTTTGGGCACACATGCACATACGTCCATCATGAGTTTCAAGCCTCTGGGTCTGGACTTGAATTGTAGTTGGCCATGTGGGGGGTCCAGCACCTTAACCACTACACCACCTGCTGGCCTGTGTTCTAGTTCTTGCAACTTGGCTGAACATCATCCCTTTGTAGATTTTGTTCCTTAAGATCCTGTTTAGACTCCAGGTGCGAAATGAAGATGACTTTATAATTTACAAAGCTCAAGCAAGAAGCTGAACTTTCCCTCAGCAGCCAGTCTGCTAATGGCCACGTTAGAAGCTTGCAGAGTGAAATTTGCTTTGTAAATAGTCACAAGGAAGTGGAAGAGATTCACTGAAAAGTTGTATGTAATTATTTTTAGGTATCTATAGGAAAACCCTATACATTGACTAACCTTTAATTTTGACAGTAAGAAGGTTGGGCCAGCCAGTGGTGTGGTTAATGGGGCTGGATCCCACATGGCCAACTGTGCATTTGATTCCCAGACCCAGGAGCTTGAAAAACGTACTGGGCATGTGTGCATGCATCCAAAAATCTTAAAAAGGATTGCAACATGACCATTCTTTGGGAGATGCTTTCTCACCCCCCCACACCTCTGCTACACACACACACACACTCACTTGCCCTGTCTCGCTCCGGCGAGTATACGCTCCCTCTGGCAAAGTTTAAAAAGAAAAGTTTGAGTGACAAGGGTGGGAATGTTGGAGCACACTAGTGGGATCTGACTTTCTTGGTGGTATCCTTGTCCCAGCTTTGCCACCAAAGAGGTGGTGATCCTGGAAGTCATCTGCTCTTCTCTGGCTTATTCTCGTTAATAAGAGGACATTGAACTTGATCGTCTTTTTTCTTCTAAGTTTATATATTTGTTCTATGAGTAAGAGAGTTAGCATCCCAGCAGGGTCTTGATGCCATGTTCAACTTGCATCTTCAGCCAGCCCTGGATCATGGGCACGCACGTGTCCAGAATACTCAGAGAAGTCTCTGGATGCAAACCCAGAACCCTCCCGTATGGGTCAGTCTGGCAGAACATCCTTTTACTGCTGTACCGTTGTGACAGCAATCATGCACATTTATTAATAGCAATATGTTTCTTTATTTCTTCTTTTCTCATCCTGACTTTTCTGGGGGTCAGCTCTGCAATTGTTCTAAGATCCTCCTGACCACTCTTGTCATAAAGACAGCTTTTGTTCTGTGCAGCTCTCACATAAAGAAATGCATATCAGTCTGGTCTGCTGCTTCGTGTATCATTGTTCTTTTACCATTACTGTCTGTGAGATTTAGGAAAGTTACTTGACCTCCATTACTCTACCCACAAGATATGTATGATATCTACTCCAAAGGGCTCTTGCGGGGAATTAAGTGAAGCACCAGCAGCATAGAATACCTGTTAGTTTCTTTCCTCCTCAGAAAGGCAAAATGAGTCACCTCTGTTATTTGTCTCTTTAACAGCCAAGCCCAACAACTCTGGGGAAGCTCCCTCAAGCCCTAGTCCTAAGGCAAGTCTGTCTTCAAGCAAATGTGACCCCAAGCACAAGGACTGTCTGCTACGAGAGTTTCGAAAGTTGTGTGCTATGGTGGCTGACAATCCTAGCTACAACACGAAGACCCAGATCATCCAGGACTTCCTACAGAAGGGCACAGCAGGAGGTAGGGCCATGAGCATCCCAAATGGGCTTTGTCTCATAAGAGCTCATGGCTGGCTTCATGGGCATGTGAAATGTACCACTGCACAGGGTCCCAGACTTGGCTTAATGCTCTGCTTTTGCTGTCTTGAAATTCCTAGTAATTTTGAAGAAGGGGTTCTGCATTTGTATTGTGCACTGGACCCCACAAATTACGTAGCCAATTCTGCTTACAGCATTTTGGCACCTTTCTTTCTCAGCCCCTATTCTGCTCCTAGGAGGACAGAAGAATCCATTTCATTTGACTAGACTGGAGGGAAATTCACTATCCTACATATCTGATTAGGTTTTTATGAACTGCATACACAGCCTAGGATAAAAATCTTCCAACTCTGTTTCTTTTGTTCATTTAACTAATTGTCACCAAGTATCTGTAATGTGCTTGTAACTGGAGACATAAAGTAAAAGTCGCAGTTCTGCCCAGTAGGGATACATCCACAGACGGAAGGTGAGACAGACACATAAACCACCAGCCGCTGAACTCTGGCCGAAGTGATGTGCCCAGGGCGCTGTCACAGCACAGGCACCTACATGTAGATCTCTCAGTCTCTGCTCCCTTGGGTTTATGTATGTATTTTTTTAAGCTCATTTCTCAAGAAGCGTTCCTTTCTTCTGTTGCCAGATGGTTTCCACGGTGATGTCTACCTAACAGTGAAGCTGCTGCTGCCAGGTGTCATTAAGAGTGTTTACAACTTGAATGACAAGCAGATTGTGAAGCTTTTCAGCCGCATTTTTAACTGCAACCCAGATGATATGGCACGGGACCTGGAGCAGGTCAGATAAAGGAGAGGGTAGGCCGCATTCCAGGTGGGGTTCTGCCAAGCCAGGCACCTGCACCCTTCTTTTTTCTGGTTGGGGCACATGCTAGTTTCAAAAGCTGAAACCCATTTGAGCAAACTTCTACTATGGGGGAGCAGAATATGAGGCTGCAGCTGCTAATTTCTTAAGTTTCAGAGGACTGAAACCAATACCACTGCAGAGCTATAAAAGGCCTGGATCTCAAAAGTCAGGATTTGAGACTGATGCCTTTCTTTCTTGGGGCTCTTGTTTTGGCCTTTTTTTCTCACCTTTTTCCTTCCTATAACTTGGGCTTTGGTCTGTTCATTCAGCTTTGATCATGACTCCAGCCTTGACACTAGAATTTTCCATCCATACACCCCCGTTATCTGAACACCGTGTCTGTCTCTTAATTCAGATTCCTAAGCAGGAATCAAATTGGTACAATCCTGTATAAGTTCTTGTATCTCTTCTTAGCTAAGGCTAGTGGGCAGATCCTATGTTTCATAGACATGCCCCTTCTAGGGGCTGTGGATGGGATAGAGTCTCTAAGAAGTGAGGTAGAGGGATCAGCAGATGGAGTAATGGTTACATTGCTAGACTCTCACATAGTCAACCATGGTTGAGTCTCAGACCTGATGGCTTAAAACTCATGCCAGGCATGTGCGCATGCATGCCCAAAATCCCTAGAGGAGAATGGAGGAGAAGGGATTGCAGTGTGGCCATCCCTCTAGTGGGGGTGAGTTTCTGCTTTCTGTCTCTCTCTCTCCAGTGAGTGCATGTGCAAAATCTGTCTTTAAAAAAAAAAAAAATGAGGCAGATATGTTGAGTTGAGGGCAGGAGCTATAATAGAAATCTCTTGATTCATCTTTTGTCCTGGGGAGTATACTTGGCCACCTGGGGTTGCAGCAGTGGCATTTTGGTTTTTGGAGACAGGGTGACGTATCAGAGACAATCAGAGTCTTCTTTGAGCAGAGCAAGTCTTTCCCCCCAGCTGCCAAGAGCCTCCTTACCATCCAGGAAGTGGATGAATTCCTCCTGCGGCTCTCGAAGCTCACAAAGGAGGATGAGCAGCAGCAGGCCCTGCATGACATTGCCTCCAGGTGGGGAGCTGCCCCAGTCCAACCACACCTACTGGGGATGGAATCACTTGGGAAGGAAGGTTTGCGGGGATAGAACTCTTCAAAGCTTAAGTGACTGTGCCTCATCCCCCTAGGTGTACAGCCAATGACCTTAAGTGCATCATCAGGTTGATCAAACATGATCTGAAAATGAACTCAGGTGCAAAACATGTGTAAGTATCAGCTCCGGGCAGCTGAGCTGCCAGCTGCCTTTGTTCCCACCAGAGTCAGGACTTTGGAATCCCAGTCTTGCTTTGTCTTCGTTCTGCCTTCTTACTTCCTGTGGGGCTGATATATCATTGACCTGTGTCTGCCTCCATTTTCTCATGGAAAATGGAGATAATAATACCTTTCTATAGCTGCTTCCTCTGATAAGGTGGCATCCAGGCAGGCAGAGTGTCTTAAAATAACTAAATTTTCAAAGAGTTTTTAAAAATTCCTTATGAAGTCTTTTGACAACAGAACACAAATCCTTCCCAACAGATTAGGATTGCTCTTCTCTGTCCAAAGCTATGAGGTCAACAGCAGTTATTTTATTTCCATGCCCTGTTCCCCTTGGCAGTTTAGATGCTCTTGACCCCAATGCCTACGAAGCCTTCAAAGCTTCACGCAACTTGCAAGATGTGGTGGAGCGGGTTCTTCGCAACGAGCAGGAGGTGGAAAAGCAGCCAGGCCGGAGACGGACTCTGAGTGTTCAGGCCTCGCTGATGACGCCTGTGCAGCCCATGCTGGTAGGGAGTGCTGCCCTGCCCCTGCTTGTCATGATTCACAAGTCTCAACCCTCCTGGTGAGGTCTGGTCAGATATAACTGCTGATGGTAGCCATTGTTGTCTGAGTCAGGCTGGCTTACACATATGTGAGTACTCCTGGATCTGAATGTTCTATCCAGGGATCCCTGATCACTAGCACCCTGCTAGCCTATCACCTACCTGTACTCTTTTACCTTAACCTTTAGTACCTCTTGTGCTGAGAAGAAAGAACCTGTCCTGGAGCCTACTCTACGGGCAGTCAGTCCCCAGGACCCTGTCTTGTCCTAGCTGACCCAGTTCTGGGCTCTTTGGCAGTCCCTACTAAGCAGCCCTTTATTGAGTCTCCCTACCACAAGGCTTTTCTTTTCCCACCCCAAGGCTGAAGCCTGTAAGTCCATCGAGTACGCGATGAAGAAGTGTCCTAATGGCATGTTCTCTGAGATCAAGTACGATGGCGAGCGAGTCCAGGTGCATAAGAACGGAGACCACTTCAGCTACTTCAGCCGCAGTCTCAAGCCCGTCCTGCCTCACAAGGTATGGTCCCTTCCTTTCCACCAGGACTGTCTTTTCCCTTCCTGTCTCTAAGAATCTCCAGGCCAGAGCTCCATAGCCATTCTGGTCCCGATACATAACAGGGGTTTTTGTTTCATTTGTTGAATGAACAAATTAATTGATTTATTTATTCATTTTTCAAATCTTCTGATAATGAAGGGCTGCCCAGCAGGGACAGCCAGATTCCAGACTTGGGAGAGTCGGGACAGAGCTCCCTGGGACAGTGGTGGTTCCCCCACCCACAGTGATGTCAAGGTAGAGCTCAGACAGTGAGTTGCTGTGCACGATTTTTGCATTCCCATGTCCCATATGCTCACCTGACCTAGATTATTAGGCTCATTACAGAGGCTTTTGGGCTGTCATTAGTTTGTTCATTATTTATCAAATGCTTGTGCACTATCCTAGGCATACAGTAGTGAGAGAAATGAACAAAAGTTCTGGGCCTCACAAAGCTTCTATTCTGATGTAAACACAATCCCATGGGGCATCTGGGAGCTCAGATTCCTGCCCTAATTATAGGGTTGGGTTGGGCGGAGGCAGCATTAAGAACCTCATTCCCCAGCCCTTCTCAGCTCCCAGGGTCATGGAGAGCATTAGGGGGTGTCTTCAGGGAGAAGCAGTTGGAACATCTGGCTCCAGGTGCTTATGAGCAGATAGAATGCCTGTCCTTGCTACTCCCTTCTTCCCTAGCTCAGATTTAGATATTTGGAGCCCCAGGGGCTGGGAGGACCTGTCATGTGGCCCATGTGCTCCCCCAGCCTTACATTCCATTGGAGCACTGGAGACAGAGCATCCAGGCCATTTGTTTCAGCTGTTCTGAAAGAGCTAGGCAGTGGGCTCCACCTGGAGCTTCAGTGCAGGTTCACTAGTTCTGTGGGGTGCTGTAACATTCTGAGGAACTGCTCCTGTGAGCTTGGCATTGGATGATATCCCCTGTGACCCAGGAAGAAGTCTGAGCATAGCCTTCTAGAACTAGCCCTTTTCTGCACCCAAGGTTCACTTATCCCTGGCCTTTCCTGTGCTTTCCTAAAGGGCTGGGTTAGGGACTGAAGGCGGGAGAGGGGTGGATGCGCAGCCTTGTCTGCTCCTGCTCCTGCTTCAGGCATCTTGGCTATGTGCCCTTATAAATGAGGTGAGGACTGGCCCCTCGTGCTTCCTGAAGCCCACTGCTGCCATCAATTGGTGAGGGCTACCAGAGGTAACAGTGGGGCTTCTCCCTGTGTGGGAGCTGTCAAAGATTAGGGCTGTACCTTCATCAGAAAAAAATTCCAAACAGCCTCTTACTCATTCTGTAGATGGCTGAGTTGAGCTCCTCCTTAAAGAAGACCTGCTCGTATTTCCTTGGAGCTCCTGAGGGAGCTCATCTCTTCCTGTCTCCTTTCCAGCCAGACTCTTCTCCCCTACCCTGAGCCTGATACTCACCCATCTTCTGCAGCAACACTCACCTTTGCCTCCCCGCCTTCCCCTCCTCCTCCCTCCCTTTCATATTTGTCTGCCTCCACCTCCTCCCCCTACATGCTCACTGTTTCTTCCTTTTCCCTTTCAAACTGCCTTTTGTACAGCCCATAGAAAGTGACAACACAGGCTGACCTCTTCTTGGGTCTGGACAGGTACTAAGACACCCATCGTGCTCCTGTTGTCCAGGTGGCAGACAAAGCCTAGCTGTGCTTCACACATTTGCTGACCTTCCACATGTTCTGTATTCCTTCTGGGGCTGGGCTTTGCTCTTTGTGGCTAGGCTTTGGGTCCCTGCCGTCCATTCACCCCTCACCATAGTTACCCTTCTACTTCCAGGTGGCCCACTTTAAGGACTACATCCCCCAGGCTTTTCCTGGGGGCCACAGTATGATCTTGGACTCAGAGGTGCTCTTGATTGACAACAAGACAGGCAAACCGCTGCCCTTTGGGACTCTGGGAGTGCACAAGGTACTGACTCAGGGCTGTACATATGAGAATGAAGGCATGTATGTGCATGCACACACATGCAGTGTGGAAAGGGAGGGACGAGTCACTTAGGGAGGGCTTATGTGCTTCTGAACTTGGTTTTGAGCTTAGACAGGCCTTATTTTTCTTCTTTCCTCGTCTTCCTTCTCCTCCTCTGCCTCCTTCTGCCACATATAAAGGAGCTGGTATTAGGAATTTACAATGGGGCTGCTTTCCATACAAAGTCATCTACTAAATACCCTGATGGCCTAGGGGCTCTGAAGCACAAATGGGACTTTTCTATCAGGAGAGTCAGAGACTCCAGACTGGCACTACAGTTTTCATGCCATCTGACTTATGTCCCTTGTCTACCTACTATTTCATTTTCACTTACAGAAAGCTGCCTTCCAGGATGCTAATGTCTGCCTGTTTGTTTTTGATTGTATCTACTTTAATGACGTCAGCTTGATGGACAGGTGAGTTAGCTAGCACCTATCTTTTTTTATTATTGTTTTTTAGTTTGCTGTAGGGTACATGTGTTCACCAGAGAGAGGAAGAGAGAGAGTTAGAGGGAAAGTGAAAAATCACCCCTCCACTCCCCAGGGGGATGGCCAGGCCATAATCCCTTCCTTTCCATTCTCTTCTTGGGATATTGGACATACACGTGTGCCTCACGTATTTTTCAAGTCACTGGGTCCAGGGCTTGAATACATAGTTATGTAGGATCCAGCAGCTTTACTCTCTGAGCCACCTGCTGCCTCACACCTGTCTTTTTTATTTGTTTTGTTTAATTTTTGCTCTAGGGCACATGTACTCACTGGAGAGAATCAGAGAGGGAAAAGGAAAGTGAGACATTATCCCCCATGGGGAATGGCCACACAACAGTCCCTTCTCCCCTCTCCTCTTGGGATTTTGGGTACACATGCACACACGCCCAGCATCTTTTTTAAGCCACTGGGTCTGGGGCTCAAACCTTGCAATTGGCCATATGTGAGATCCAGCCACCTTAACTACCACGCTGCCAGCAGACCCTGGCTAGCATCTATAAACCCAGGAACTGCTAGGAATGTATTTTCATTTACTGAGTACTGAAGTAGGGGGATCAGGTTGGAAAGGAAGGAATGGGAAGGGAGCCTGGCACCTATGCCCTTGTGCCCAGGAGCCCGGCAGTGTTAGGAGGGAGCTAGAAGCAGGGTCAATTCCCCATTCTGTGTGAGGAAGAGCTTTATTGGCTCCAACTCATCTCTAAGAGCTTAGGTCACAGAATAAATTCAACCCCCCCAAAGATGTTTCCTTATAAAAGCTGAGAAACAGACTGTGAGCACAGTGGGGCTTTGCTCTGTAGCACTGTGGGGGCATAAGGCAGATTATTTCAGCTCTCAGGTTACGACTTCAGGAGAGGCTCCTGATTGCATGGGGAAGCTACGGGTGGGATTGTCCTGGGGAGAATTAACAGTCTTGAATTAGCTACATCGAATGCACAGGACTGAGAAACCAGGATTGGTCCTTCCCACGTTCATGTGTTCCTGCCCCCACTGCCCCTGTAGCAGCCATTTTTGTGACTGTGGAAGGGGAGGAAGTAGGAGGGCACTGGTGGGGGAGGAGTTGGGTGTGGGATCCTGAGGCCTTTATCAGCCTGCTGACCCAAGGACCGGACAGCCTTGGGCTTGGCATAGTCAGGTACAGTGGATAAAAAACTAGAGTTGGAGTCATTTTTCTTTCCTTCTTTTTTGGAGAGGATTTTTGCTATAGGGCATGCATGTGCTCGCCAGAAAGACAGAGACAGAAAATGAGAAATCACCCCCTAGGGGGGATGGCCACACTGCAATCTCTTCTCCTCTTGGGATCTTGGGCACACATGCACATGCGCCTAGCGTGAGTTTAAGCCACCAGGTCCAGGACTCAAACTGCAGTCGACTACATGGTAGTCCAGCGACGTAGCCATTATGCTATCTGTTGGTCCCCCTTGTTGGAGTCATTTTTCAAGTGGGCCCAGACTTCATATAGTCTTGTTTAGAGTCTAGTTCTCTCGTGGCTCACTAAAGTAGAAACCGGAACTACAACTATGAACTGGCTCTGAGGCATGGCTCACAGATGACCATTTTTGGTCATGATGGCACCCTTACAGCCCTTGATAGAACTTCTGCACCGAGGGTTTTTCTTTTTTCGGTGGAGGGGTGGAGATTTTTGCTATAGGGTATGTACTGCATATGCTTGCTGGAGAGACAGAAAGCGAGAAGTCACCCCCAAAGGGGGATGGCCACGCCATAATCCTTTCTCCTCCATTCTCCTCTCGGGATCTTGGGCACACACGCACACCTGCCTGGCATGAGGGGCAGTATGGGAGTCCAGCGACATAACCATTATGCCATTTGCTGATCCCTACACTGAGGGCTTTAATCCATGGCAACCCTCTCATGAAGCAGAAGTTTTAACACTGTCCCTTCCCTTCTCAGAAATCCTAATAGGGTAGAGGTGGGAGAATCCTAGCCTGACCTCTGCTCTTCTGTCCCCCTTAGACCCCTGTGTGAGCGACGGAAGTTTCTTCATGACAACATGGTTGAAATTCCCAACAGGATCATGTTTTCAGAAATGAAGCAAGTCACGGTGTGTGAAGACCCTAGCCCAGGCAGGGTCCTAGTGGTTTGAAAGCTGGCAGAGAGCCTATCTAGTGTGACTGGGATAAAGAGTCTAAATTACTCATAAGGGAGCTGTTGATGTGTCTGCTTTTGACTGCTGTGTATCTCCTGGTGTTCACTCAGGGCATCAAAAGTCCTCCTAGGTCAGCACCCTTTGTCTCCAAGCACAGTAGCTCTCTAGTTGGGAGGGTTCTATTTGCAAACCCGCTGTCCCTTATATTCCAGCTAGAGGTTTCCAGTGGGCACTTCACTAGTATGTGAAAAGAACCACCCCACCTTGCTCTCATTAGCACCCTGTCTATTCTCATACCAACTTCAGCATTTCTTCCGTTGTCCCTCAGAAAGCTTCGGACCTGGCTGACATGATAAACCGGGTGATCCGGGAGGGGCTGGAAGGGCTGGTGCTGAAGGACGTGAAGGTGAGTACTCATGCCCTGTGCTTTCTCCAGTACAACCCTCTCCCCTGAGCCTTACCTGCCCTGGCCGGGAGGTGGTGAGTCTGAGGTCTAGGGTTTGGACACATTTGGATCTGGAGGGTGGCTTGTGTGTGTCTCCTGCAGTGCACGTGGGCACTGTGGTAGATCTGGTATGTGGCAGTGAAGAGGCAACCCCATCCTCGTGGAATTTACATTCAAGTTTGTGATCTTTCTCTTGCTTTTCCTCAGGGCACCTATGAGCCTGGGAAGCGGCACTGGCTAAAAGTGAAGAAAGACTATTTGAACGAGGGGGCCATGGCTGACACAGCTGACCTGGTGGTCCTTGGGGCCTTCTATGGACAAGGGAGCAAAGGTCAGGGTGGCCTCTGGCCCGTGGAATGGGACTTTTTTGGAAGGTACCTTTTGAGGTACAGACTGACTGTGTTATTGACTTGATCTGCCAGCATGGCTAGTCATGACTCTGAAGTCCTGGGACCTGAGGCCTCCACCTACTCCAGGTCCCCTCAGCAGATGCCTGCTACATACTCAAGCAGGGAAAAGTCAGGAGGAATATCTTGGGCTAGTCTGGCATAAGTTCACTGCCAACAATTTCCTTTAGGGCCTGGAAGCTTTCTCCTCAGGGAAAATCTGGAGAGGAAGCTGAGCCTTGAGGAACTAATACTTTTAGGCAGTCTACTGTGTGCGGGCACTGTTCAGTTCCCCAGTACCCAAAAAGCTGGGTGTGATTATCCCTAATTACCGAAGAGGAAATTGGGATCCACAAAGGTTCAGCTTCCACAGCTAGTACAAGGTGGATCCAAGAGGTAGACTCTGGGCCTTCCTCTCGAACCTGGCTCGTGGGGCAGGCAGAGATGGCTCCCTCCAGCCCACATTCAGCCCATACTCCTCTCCTAGGTGGCATGATGTCCATCTTCCTCATGGGTTGCTATGACCCTAGCAGCCAGAAGTGGTGCACGGTCACCAAGTGTGCAGGAGGCCATGATGACGCAACGCTCGCTCGCCTGCAGAAGGAACTGGACATGGTGAAGATCAGCAAGGTGAGGAAGGGACCCAGCTAGCCCTGGGCTCTGGACAGGGACAGGCTACACTTGGAGGACTACAGGTGTCGCTTATCTGTCTCTCCAAAGGAGAGTTTCTGCTTGGGAACTGCATTACATCTGAGTGTAGACCTTGTGAGGAATGGCCTGGACGCCCTCCAGGCATCAGCCCTCTGGGCAAGGAGGGTCACATGAGCTTAAGGTTCAGTCTTAGCTAAATCACATCGCACAATCCCATCACCAGGAGAGAGGGTTTAGATGTTCCAGTGTGGGAGCAGCCCAGGACAGCATATTTTCTCTTTTAGGACCCCAGCAAAATACCTGGCTGGCTGAAGATCAACAAGATCTACTATCCTGACTTCATTGTCCCAGATCCAAAGGTATTAACCTGGTAGCTTGGGGGTCCTCTAGCCCACACGCAGGTTCTCCTGTGCTCCAGTAAAGCCATCCCAGCCTCACAGGACGTCCAGGGATCTGGACTGTTGAGCCCAGTGACAGGCATTGAGACTAACATTAGAGGTGGCATCTCAGTGAAAAGAGGAAGAGAGTTCCATCTCATCATGGGGATCTGTCCTAGAAGCCACCTAGCCCCATCCCTCGTACTGAAAGAGAAAAGACTTGTCTAACGTCACTTAGCATCAGAGGGGGCAGTAAGACAGAGTGCAGGTCCCCAGCTACTGGCCAAAGCCCTCATGTTGTATATTACTCCTGGCTGGTTGGGAGATGCTTTCTTCACTAGTGATGCCCTGCCTGCCTTACACCTGACAGAAAGCTGCCGTGTGGGAGATCACAGGGGCGGAATTCTCCAAATCTGAGGCTCACACAGCTGATGGGATCTCCATCCGATTCCCTCGCTGCACTCGCATCCGTGACGATAAGGACTGGAAATCTGCCACTAACCTCCCCCAGCTCAAGGTACCAGCATTTAGGCTGTCTGTGTATCTTCCATCCCACTGTCCTGTCTTTAGAGCCTTGGGCATCTGGCCTGTTCACATGTCCTCTGTCTTCTCTCCCCCGTTCCACTGAGACAGCAAGGAGAGCACTTAGAGAGACAGCCCAGGCTGCTGCCGAGCCAGAAGCAGCAGCCGGGTGGTCTTATCACGGGCACGTATCTAAGAGCCTTGCAGCCATCAGGCCCCACAGAACTCACTCTGTAGCCCCCTGTGAGGGGGTGCCCCTGGCCAGAGCCCCTGCTTTGTTCAGTAAGCCCTGAGCCCCAGAGAACTGATTACTTGGTTACAGGGTCATACTTTGGAAAAGCTGCTCTTTGTCTTTCTCACCTTTTTGTTCCTCAGCTTCATGTGCCTAAAATATACTACACTATCCACTGAGGCCAGGCTCCAGGGAGGGAATACGCCTACCATCTAACAGTCTATATCCCCCTCAGGAACTATACCAGCTGTCCAAGGAGAAGGCAGACTTCACAGTAATGGCTGGAGAAGAGGGGAGCTCCTCTACAGGCGGCAGCAGTGGAGAGAATGAGGGTACTTCAGGTTCTGCTGTGTCCCACAAGGCCCGCAGAGCCGCCCCCAACAAGCCCTCTGCCAATGCCAAGAAGGCTGAAGGGAAGCTGAGCAACCCCAATAGCAAAGGCAGTAAGGACAAGGGAATCTGGGGTGATGAAGAGGGTGCTGTGAGGGTCAGAGGTCACGAGGCACACCCGGTCGACCCACTCTGAGATCACATGAGCATCTGTGTCCACTGCAGCTAACACTGGTTGCATTCCTGTTGTGTGCCCAGCCTTGGGCCAGAAGCTGTTCTGTTAGGCACTATCTGCTCGGCAACCTTAATGACTACTCTGGGACACTAATCGGAGTGGGATACACCACATCTATGCTAAGGGATTGAGCCGATACCTCTCTCCTCTATCTCATCCCTGCTTAAAGCAGGGTATGCGCCTGGCCCTGCCCCCGGTTTCAGGGACCATCTGCTGCAGTCCCTGCCCTAAGTTCTTATTACAAACTATCCTGCAGGTAACATGCTGACGGCAAAGTCTTCCCCTGTGAAAGTGGGACAGAAGATGGCCGTGAAGTCTTCTCTGGTAAAAGTAGGAGAGAAGCGGAAGGCTGCTGATGAGACTCCATGCCAAGCCAAGGTGAGGGTTAGAACAGCAACACAGCAGGTAGGCCAGATGGGCTCGGGCCAGGTGTTCCCAAATGAGCGAAGAGGTGTCAGGGGACATTGGCTAACTTCACATCCCCCCCACAGCTGTTCCCACTCGGGCAGGACCAACAGTGCTGCTGCTCTACCCTGTGCCCTCTTGTTACGTTGCAGAGGCGACCGGCCAGCCAGCAGAGAGGAAGGAGAGCTGTGCCAGCAGGCAGGAGATAGAACAGCCCAACCTAGCCAGGAGGCTGCAGGGACCAGCCAGCTGCTGGTCCCAAATCACATTGACATTAAAGTGGAGAAAGCCCCATCTGGGTGTGGGAGTGCAGCGGTGTGAGTTTGTGGTCAGGGCGGGAGCAGGCTGAGCCAGCCAGAAGGGAAGAGGGCACTGCTTTGGTAATTCTCCTCCTACCCAGGAGCCTTTCCCTTTTCTGTTTCTGTCAACCTTTGGTTTGGCAAGATGTGTTGAGCACCTGCTGAGGCCAGAACTAGGTTTAGCAGTGGCTCAACCCTAGGGGACCTGGCAGCCCAAAGGGCAGATGGAGAAGTAAACAAATGATCACCAGAGTGTGCACCCCACCCCAGCTCCCCAGCAGATCCATAGAAACCTTTCCCACCCTGTTCTGCATGAAGCCTTTAATCCCATCCACAGTAATGAGGGCAGCTCCCGATCCCAGTCTAGCTAGTTGTGCAGCGACCGCCTGATCTGCAGGGACATCACCAAGTCTGGGGGGCAATGAGGCTGCATGCCACTGGATGCTCTTGGAGACTCTCCAGGTCCCTCCTTCTCCAGGACAGGGATGGAGGAGCAGGCATGTCCGCCCTTACAGGGACTAGAGGATGGGCATGATCAGGCCTGTACCTTGTTTCTAGTAAGCCCTTTCTGCTTGTGTCCTGAACTCCTGGTCCCCTACATAGCTGGCTCTTGTTTTGACTTCCTCACTCTGGCCTGTGCTTATCTGGGGGAAGCCTGAGCTGCACCAGCACAGGGCTCTGACCCTGCCCTGACTCTGCATTGCAGGTGCTGCTAGACATCTTTACTGGGGTCCGGCTCTACTTGCCGCCCTCCATACCAGACTTCAGCCGCCTCAGACGCTACTTTGTGGCATTCGACGGGGACCTGGTGCAAGAATTTGATATGGCCTCGGCCACACATGTGCTGGGTAGCAGGGAAAAGAACCCTGAGGCCCAGCAAGTTTCCCCGGAGTGGATATGGGCATGTATCCGGAAACGGAGATTGGTTGCTCCCTGCTAGAACTGCCATCTTCCCTCCCTCTCAGCCACTCTCTCCCCTACTCCTCAGCAGGTACTCCTGGGCTCAGGCTGGAGGCAGGTGGCACAGGAACAGAGTGGGGAATGGGCTTTCTTTTCCCAGGCAGTGCATCCCCCCAAATCTACCTGCTCTTCTTCAGGGATTCATTGCTGTGGGTACAAGTGAGGTCAGTTTCTTTCGCTAGTTTAGATGGACCTTTCAGATCTGGGTGCTGGCTTTGTCATCCTTTTTTCTTTAAAGATAAGCTTAGTTATTTTTTTATAAATAAAATATCTTGCAGTTTGTCTGTCCTTTCTCCACCTCCACCTCCCCCTCCCCCTCAGCCCCTAGTAACTTCCCCAGTGGTTAAGGAGTGAAGGCTGGGCTATAGAGCTCTGTCTACAAAGTCTTCCACCTCTGCCTGCCCTCTTTACGTCTATGCTCATTTTAAAGTTGTATTTGAGACTGTCCTCAGAAATGCTTCTTACATTTGGTGGAACTTTTATTCTGCCTGACCCCTTTTGCCAGGAATGAACTCTCACTTGAAAGAAAACAAAATGAACTTCTATGACTTTATTCTCCGTGTTCTCCTATTGCAGGCTGAGGGTCCCCAGTTTGGAAGGGAGGGGTTTGGGGCCAAGTAGAAAAATGGAGCTTTTATAAAGAAAGGGAGGGTATTTGGGCTACTCCTCTGGGGGAAAAGAGGGCAGAAGAAGCGCTGCCTCCCTCAAATCTAGAAACAAGACTTCTGCAGTAAAATCTACAACTACAAAGAGCAGCTCCACACAGCCTGCTTACAAACAACCTATTGTGTCACCTTATTTGCAGATAGAATTTAGTAGGCAAGTGCTGTTTGATAGAGCTTTTGAGGTTACAGATATCCGCTAAGTCTGTCCTGTCCAACCTACTAGGCACATATGGCCGTGAAATGTGGCCAGCACAACTGAAGAACTGAAATTCTCACCTTAATTCAACCTCAGATGGTCAGATGTCACTAGAGACTTACATGTTGGATGGTGCAGGTGCAGACAGAACTGGTTCAGACCAGAGTCCTGAAACCTAGTAAAAGCTGTAACTTAAGCGAGTTACTTAACATGTGAAGCTCGGGGAAGGAAATGGGAATAGGCACTGCACTCAATCTCAGGTGGCTGTAAGTGACCTCCGTATGGAAGCACTAGCACAGAGCCTGGCACATGGCCCTCCAGGGTTGGCAAGATCATCACGGCATGCATGTCCAGACCCTACTCAGGACAGTCACCCACAACTGCATGTCTGCGTATTATAGCTCACACTCCACTCCAGTGCAGGCTTGTCAGCAAATCATATGGTTGGGCTGAACCCGTAGCCTAGCTTTTTAAGGGAGCCAGATCCCATGTATTTCAAATCCCAGCCCATGGCTTGAAAAATGCTGGGCATGTGCACATGCCCAAACTCCTGACAGGAAGGAGAAATGGGGAAGAAGGGATGGAAAGATGACCACATCCCTTTGGGGGTCTTCTCCTCCCCTCTGGTGAGCTCAAGTACTTTATGGCAATTAAAAAGAAAGAAAACATTTGCTTATAGACTTGTTCCCATGCACCACAGCTGCTGACTGGGAGGATCAGTTCTCCGAACTCTCAACAAGTTAGCAGGTAGGCCTGTCCATCTCCTGTGAGTTAGTTAATGTGACTTGATCTGTAACACTTGAGTGCCCGGACTTGTAAGATAGAAGAGCACAGGCTCTCGTGGCCCTACCTCCACTCAGCTAAGGTAATCTTTTGCTGGGAGGCTATACCAGTCAGTTTGAAGGCCAAAGTAATCTGACTGACCTTGGATTCCACCTGCTGTTTAAAATGTCAGGGGAAAGTACAGGAGGGGTGAGTACTGCTCTGACTCTAGCCCAGACATGTAGTGTTTTTCAATAGGTGCCATTCAGTCTGGCTTTAGTATTGGGAATAAGACACTCTCTTTATTCTATCTTCCGTGGAGACAAAAGCTACTGCTCTGAACACTGACCTACATAGATTTCCATGCCTCTCTCCAGCCTCCTCAGGCCAGGCAATGAGACTGCCCCAGAATAAGGCTCTCACCTTGGGATCCTGCCAAAGGCACTGCCCTTACTGATTGCTGATGCTGAGTGCACCCTCACAGCCAAGAGGCTGTGCCCACTCCAGGTGATCATCTCTGGCCTTTCTCTGCCTTACCTACTGTGTTACCTCCAATTGACCCAATGCCTTTTTGTACGTTCGCTCCAGTCTTTTCTGATACTTTTTTTTCTTTGAAGAGCTTAGACTATGCAGTTTTGTATCCTTTCTTCCAGTTGTACCACAGCTGGATCCCAAAGCTCCTAAGTACCTCCAAGGTAACTGAAGATGAAATTGGCTATAGTAGTTGTCTTCAGATTCCATTCTACCCAGACGTTTAAGGCCCAGCTCTACTGTATTGGTGTAAATGTCAGAATTCACTTTGCTGCTTCCCATTTGGTCTGTTCTGTCCTACCAACCTCACATTCATTTTAGGCTGTTCCACTGTCTCTCCCACATACTACTGGTGAGATCTTGGGCAAGTCACAACACCGAGCAGGGGTATCTTGACCAAGGTCACATGGCTCAAACACCTCCAAAGCCGACAATCTTCTCAAGAGCATGCCTGTGTGCACATGCCTGGGATTAGCCTGTGGTTTATCAGTTCTTTTCTTGACCTTAACTATTAGATCTCTGGCATGCTCACATCACATAGGACAGGCATCTGTATTGAAACTTTATTTTACAAAATTAAAAAGCAGAGCTCTGTAACAAAAAATACACATTTGGGTTTGCTTTGACACCCAAGTTAAGTCTGAGAGAATCTTGATATAAGCTACTTGAAATAACACATTCACATCCAAGAGATTTCAACAAATGTATACAATATATATTGAGTCGTAATTCCTGTACAGCTTATTCTTACTAGTTTAGATCCAACTAGTCCAATGTATTATGAACCAATCAGTTGTCCAAATCTTTTAAAACAAATCTCAAACCTCAGAGCAATCACAGCAAAAGCCACAGAATAATTGGAAGAATTATTAGATGTTTCCATGATAATTAAAACCAAGGATCCATGAGGAGTAGGAGGGGAGGATTCAAGGATTTAAAAAAACAAAAGCAAGTATTCTACTTGGCTTAGATATGAACTGGGGTGAGATATTGAAACTCCCAGCTTTTATTTGGTGTAATAAAGATGATACCGAAAAACCAGGGTTGTCTAACACATTTTTTTTCTAAATGGAAACATTTACCAAAAGAAGATAAAAGGTTTAAAGGCAAATTCTTTCTCCAAAATGGTAAGTGACATCAGATCTAATTCTTACTGAGGTTACTAACCAGCCATCAGTAGTAGTAGTATTTTCAACTCGTGTCTATGAGGGAAATTGGGGGGAAGGGAAGTTAAGGCCTCAGCAGAGAAAGCAAGTTGGTCAGTAGGGAGAGAGCCAGCTTCTACCCTGAAGTTATTGCTAGATCATAACTGAGTTGCACATACACAGACCTACTTCACAGTGGAGTCAAGGAGCAGCTGAGTGAATAATCCTTTGCTAAACTGGTAGGCACTATAAACTGCAGTGTTTACTGTCTATAGTAAGGTGATGTCTTTATGGGGAAATCTCTGATTCCCCTGACTCCTACAAAGGTTGTAGCCTTAGAATTCAACATTCAGCACTTGGTATAATGTCGAGGTAAGAGGCCATGTTTAGCTGATAAGTATTTTATGAAATGATTTTATTCCCCCAAAGAGGTTTAGTGGTTGATGGAGGCAAAGCATGAGTACGTCTGTGCCAGTGTAACAGGTCCCCTTAGAGCTTTCCCACTGCCTTCCAGTCATCATTGATTCTGGTCTGAGATTTCTGCTGCATGGTGCATGTGGGTGGGTGGTGAGGAGGGTCTGCCAAGACCCTCAGGTGTTTAGGGATTGCATAGCTCATCCACTGGTGATGGGCGTGCACATAGCACTTCTGAGTGTGTGTGTTGTGCTCGGCTAAGCTGCTCCAGCAAACTTTCCTTAAGCCTTTTGTCTCCCCCAATGATGTAAAGATTCTGAGGGTTCAAATACATCATATTCTCATTACATGGTCCTTCCTATAGGGTCTAGAGAATGTGTCTTCCTGACTGCTCTGAAAACAGTAAGCTAAGAAAGCAGCAGGGACTCCCCACCAACCCAGAGAATTCAGACTTGCAGCTGTCTGAAGCCCCACTCAGTACCTCTTGATACCTCTTAGCTGCCCTGCTTATATGTTTGGTCTCCAAGAACATCATGAGAGGTCTGGCCAGAGAAGAGCAAGGCTCTACCTAAGCCTCTGACTTGGTGACACCAAATTAAAAACCTTTAATGAGAAATGGAGGGACTTCATTTTCTGGGGAAAGTAGTTTAAGACTCCCACGTATAGGAAAAAGGATCTCTCAAAGGCCAAAGTGAGGCACAAAGCCACTACCTCCACTCAGTTTGTCTCCTTTCCTGGTAAACTAAAATTAAGAATCTTGATGCAGAGTTTGTCCTCAAGCGAGGATGCAGCAGAGATTATCCTGCGCAAACCCCTTCCCATACAGAAATGTCCCAGCAGGCTGGGATCCCAATGCTTTGGTGGCTCCCAGGATCAGGTCAGGAGACATAGCTTCCAATCCCAGCACTTAAGGAGGCAACTCTTAATAACTTGGAAACTTCTCAATAGCATTGTGTTTCATTTCTCACCAGAGATTAAGTTTACTGGCCCGAATTCTATCTTGAGGACCACTATTGGTCTCATAAACTTAACATATTTTTGGTCTGAAGAAACAATGTAGGCAATGTAGCAAGAGACTTTAGCAAAGGCAGATTAAAGCACAGAAAGCCAGAGACCAGAAATTTAAGTCCAGATGTGCTGAGGAGGAAGAGAACCATTTCTAGCAGGACTTCTGATTGATGAAGCGAGGCAAGCATCTCCAGGGGATGGGTGAGGTACAGGAACAGGGGTGAAACTCTAGGTTTCTGGAGGGAGGGAAATAGACATGGTCCAAGTTCTAGTAGGTCCTCTGTTCAATTACCATCATCACCCCGAGATCACTGAAACGGACTCACCCATGTGATCTGTACCAATTCCCACTGGCCTCAGGTTCTGCCAGCCAAGACGTGCACCCCTGTGGCAAGACAAGTATGCTAAGGGGCGACATGGCATCTTTGCTTGCCCTGGTCTTGGGAACACTGCAGAATTTCTTCTCTTAGCCTGCCCCTGTGCAAGCTGGACAACCCTGAGCCCAGGCAGCCTGGGCTATGTCCCTGTAAGGCACTGAAGAAGCTGGAGCAAGCCCTCAGGACCGGAAGACGTGCACAGCCCGGATCACATACTGCCGGCAGATGGGGCACTCGTTCATACGCTTGCCACACTTGGTACAGGTTACCATGTGGCCGCACTCCAGCAGAACACAGTCAATAGGTGAGTCCATGCAGATCTTACACAGGTTCTCCTCCAGGCCGGATGGCACGGCTCCCCCTGTACAAACACACAGTAAAGAAAAAGGGGGGGAAGAGTGAGAATACTAAGTATATGGGTGATGGGAAGATGGAGGTAAGAATGGGCACACTGTGAACCCTAAAACTACAGACTACCCTCAAATAGAGCTCCTCCAAGAAAACATTTCCTTAGTAACTCCAGTTGCTTATTTATTCCCCATCTCCTCCCAAAGGGTTCAGATCTGAGAAGTTCAGTCCTTGTGGATCAAATACATGCCAGACATGAGAACTAAGGCAAAGTTCTTAAAGCTTAAAAGAAATAATTTTTCAGACCATTGAGGCTGTCATATAATGAGTGAGTGGCACTTAGGGACTCATTACCCTCCTGAGGCAGAGCATGCAGAAAAGATAAAACTAGTTCAGAAAAGTTTAGATAAAAACAGAACCATAATGAATGGCTCATTAGCACTCATGAAGCTTATCTATAAACACATCCCCAATTTAATAAAGCCAAAGATCACGGGGCTCCTTGTGCTAACCCACAAGCTACCCCTGGACTTCTGAGGAGACTTCCTGGTGGAGGAACTTGGCAGAAATTATTGATCTGTTACCCCCATAGAACCTTCTTACCCTCATGAGTGCTTATCACAGTGGATTATAATTTTGCATTTGCCTACTTTATCTATCTTTCCCAGTAGACTATGAGCTTTTTAATTCAACCTATTCAGTTGATTTCTACAATTATATACTGAACATTTGCTATGTGTTCTGAGGTCAGATATTCATCTTTGAATCCCTAAAATGTCAATCAAATGGAAGATATTTTCTAAATGTCTGATAAATGAATGTCTCCCTAGAAAATTATAATGACCCTCATTTACTGAATGCTTATAGGTTGCTGAGCAGAGTTCTAAGAGCTGTGCATCTATTAACTCATGGAATCCAAACTAGGAAGCAGGTATTCTTGTTTAGATAGATAAAGACAACTGGGTCCAAAGAGTTAAGCCCAAAGACACACAGTTGCTAAGCAGAGGAGCCAGGTTCAAACCCTGGCAGGTTTCACCCCATGGTTCATGGACAGTATGATCTCTGTGGGGAAGTACCCTGCAGACAGAGACCATTCAGACAGTAAGTGTTAACGTCCCAGTACACAGAGATCCCTGTAATGTAACTGGTTTATGACAGTGGTAAGATACAGTTGACATGATCAGTATACACTTGGGGTACACACACCAAAATACCTTTAGGTTGAAAAGCCCAATAACCTCCAATGTATCTTAAATGATAGCCTGAGCTAAGGAGCCATAAATGAGGAACTGGCCTCATACCAGTTGCCTCTGCCTTCTGGGGTTTGGCCAACGAGAATTTTCCTGTGTTCTGTTGCTTCTATTCTGGACCTCTATTCTCAAAGTAAGAGGGCCGGCCCTGTAGCCTAGTGACTAGGAGGAGTCAGACCTCAGATGGCCAACCCCAATACAAGAAACACTCTGGTTGCATGTCTGTGTGTGCCCCAAATCCTGACAGGGTAAAGAAATGGAGAAGAAGGGATTGCAGTGTGACCACGCCCCATTGAGGGTGCTTTCTTTCTCTCTGGTGAGCACATGTGCTCTGTAGCAATTAAAAAAATAAGTCAAGAAACACTTCCCACTAGGATGTGAGCTGGCTGTGAAAAGACTGAAACCTATTTACCTCCTTTGAGAGGTTGCTCTAACTGGGTAGGTTTGAAAGAGACTAAATTTACAGATACCTAAGGTGAGCTGGAGTAATTTACAGAACTTCAATTACTTATTACTTTCCTAAGGAATAACAATAAACATGTCAATGCAATTGTCATCATTCTCCCTGGGATCAGAAAAGGAAGGAAGGCACCAACTTGGTATCAGGTGGGGGAGGGTATCTAGAACTCCAGATATTTTTGAGAAACAGAAAACTTCAACTCTCTTTTATATCTGATGAGAAATTATTGGACATTGGTCCAGCCTCACACCCAGTGGTTAAGGGAACTGAATCTCACATAGCCGACCACAGGGTTTGAGTTCTGGACCTGGTGGCTTGCTCTCTCTCTCTCTAGTGCATATGCCCTATAGCAAATTAAAAAATAATAAATTAAATTTAAAACCACACACACATACAGGCCAGGTACATGTGCATGCATGCATGTCCAAAACTCCAATAGGATGGAGAAATGGAGAAAGGATTGCAGCATGACCATGCCCCACTGAGAAGTGTTTTCTCTCTCTCCCTTTGTCTTTCTCTGGCAAGTGCAGGCATCCTCGCCAATTAAAAAAATGTTTTTTAAAAGGATATTAAATTTTATGCCATTTTGAGCAAACAGCCATTTTACTAGAAATTGGTGTAGTCTTCTGAAAAAAATTAAAATATACGTTCTAACTCTGAGTGTTCTCTTGGAAAGGAGCTCATCACCATATAGCATTGTGGCTTTCAAAACATATAGCATATTTTAGAACTTTCCCTAGATCATCAGTTCTGCAATATGCCTGGGGTACCTGAAGGCCCAGTAGTGGTCTTTCACACACAGGTGCATGCATAGCAGCTGAGGTGAGGCATGCATCTTGTGCCCAGAGACCATGTGACACCCTTCCTGATCTATCTCCAGAGCAGCTCTTGCTGCTGCTCAGTCCTGTACAGAGGGGCTCTCTCAGATCACCACCCGCTCTTTGGTTGGTGACAGAAATGGTAAACATGCTCAGTGAGTTCCCTGAAGGTGATACAGAGATCCTCCTCACCCAGGCCAGAACTAAGTAAAAACAACAGGGTAAGGAAAGAGAAATGAGTGTGACATGTGCCACCACTCACTTTGTTACATATTTCACAAATGTGTCTCCTGAGCTCTGGCAACTCTGAGACCTACCCACCCTAGGTATGTTACTGCTCTGCATCCTTCACAGGGAGGACAGTGAGAATTTCCACAGATGCTGAGATGCCCTAGATCCAATGACTTTCTCTCACACTTCTCTGGAAACCCACATATACTCATAGTCTGTTGACAGGGATCAGGATTGAAGAAGGGGAAGCTCAGAAGAGCTAGGAACCTAAACCCATTCCCAGACAGAAACAACTACATACCGTTTTGGTTTTCTGCAGCACCCACTGAAAAGAAAGAGAAAGATGTCTGAATCTGTGATGGCATCATAACACAAGGAGTCTCCCACCACCCTGGTGTCACTTATGAAACCTGCCCACTTCCCTGCGGAGCGGCAGTTTGCCAAGAACCTAGACAGAATCTTGCCTTCCTCGCTCACTCTATAAGCTGAGAGCTCGCATGTAGCTCCGACTGGCGTCTACTCGTCTACTCTTAGAAGAAGGTCTTCCAGGCCAGCCTGGATCCTACCAACTGCATGGTTTGAGTCCTGGACCTGGCAACTTGAAAAACATCTGAGTGCATGTGCGTGCATGCCCAAAATAGCAAAAGGAGAAACGAAGAAGGGATTCTGTTGTGGCCAATATCCCAGATGGTGCTTTCTTGAGCATGCACTTGGTCTCTCACTCACTCTCTCTCTCTCTCTGTTTCTCTCTAGCAAGCACACACACCCTCTAACAAAAAATGGAAAGGAAAGGAAAAACAAAAGGAAGGAAGAAAGGAAAGAAGGGAGAGGGGGAGAGAGGGAAGGAGGGAGGCAGACATTTCACTGGTTTGCATGAACAAAACTGCCAGGCAGAAGAATACTGCATATGCACAACAGCCTTCTCTATTGCTTTTGAAACCTACAACTAAAGAACGAACGATCTGGCATTTCAATGAGTCCAGATCCAATAACTCTGAGAGCCTTGTGAGACTCCAGATCACTAGGTCTGAGCCTGGGATCAAGCAAGTAGTCAAATGTCCCCTAACTCTGAAGAATCTGGGCTTGAGATCTGATGTCAACCACTGTTATCACACAAGGAAACAAAGTGCTGCTCTACACAAACTCAATCAGCTGGGGATGGGATGGAAGATAAGAGTTCTGTGATTAAATTATTTCAGGAAATATCAAGTTCAAAACGACTAAACACATGGGGCCAGCAGGTGGCGTAGTGTTTGGCAGCTGAATCCCACATGGCTGATTGTGCAGTTTGAGTGTCAGACCTGGCAGCTTGAAAAACATGCCAGGCATGTGTGTATGCATGCCCAAAATCCCAGGAGGAAAAGGGACTGCAGCATGGCCATCCTCCTGAGAGGTAATTTCTCACTTTTCTCTCTCTTTCTCGGTCTCTGGTGAGCACATGAGCCCTACGGCAAAAAAAAATCATAAAACAATAAAAACAAAAAGAAATAGCTAAATACATTTCTCTTCTGCAGCATTTCTCTGCCTTTAATATAAAAATATCTTCTATTAACAAACAGGATATAGTATAAAGTATTTTTTACTGAAGGAGGGTATCTCCTAAAAAAGATACCAGGAGGGCCAGCGCCTGGCCTGATAGCTAAGGCAGCCAGATCCCACACAGTCAAATATGTGGTTCAAGTCCCAGACCCAGTGGCTTAAGAAATGTCCTGGGCACATGTGCATGTATCCCCCAAAATTTCAAAAGGAGGGAAACATGGAACAGAAGGAACTGTGGTTATGACTATTCTCCATGGGTGCTTTCTCCTCTCCCGTCTTTCTCTGGTAAGTACATATTCCCTCTAGCAGAAAAAAAAAAAGATGACGAAATCAAAATGATACCATGTAAAATGCTTTGGGAAAGGAATAAAACGAAAGGCTCATGTGCAGGCAGAACAGATATATTTTCCCACTGTGTGTGCGCGCAGAGATTTGCGCCCTAATCTCCCATTCATTAGAAAGTGTAGTTGGAGGTAGTACTGAGTACGGAGGAGATAGCACATGGCAGAAAAAGCAGTGGATTTAGAACAGCACCAACTCAGTTCAAATCCAGGCTGGATGAGGCTGATAATGCGTACTGCATGGGTTGCTCTGAGGATTAAATAAATATGAGCAATGCCTAACCCAATCTTGGCACTCAACTACAAATGGCAGCTATTATTAGACGGTGCAAATGAGTAATGTGACTCTGTCCACAGCTAAAAGCATGAAAACAGTCAGGTCAATTGATGCCATCATGCTTTTGAGTGACAGCAAACACTCCTGAGCTCTGTGCAGGTGCCACCCAGATAGCCCCTTACCCAGGTGCTGGAGTCCTTTCTGATCTTTGTACAGCCGCGTCACCCTCTCCATCAGCTCCCACTTCTCACAGCAGCCCTTGTAGTTGACGAAGTTGCGAGCCAGGATCTCTTTCAGCTGCCGCACCGTCAGACCTTCAATGTCCCCCAGGTCAGTCAGGTCGGACAGAGATGCCCTCCGCCCTGGGACGAAGCTGTCCTCTGAGTCAATGGACTGCAATGGCAAAGATGAGATTGGTGAGCTCAGCTCTTACCTCCCCAGCTCTATCTGCAAGCACCTAGAGCACTCATCACACAGCACTGTTGGTGAATGGTCACACAAAGAGTAGGAACAGAGACAGGAAGAATACCCGGCATGGTGCTTTGCATTGCAAAATAGACTAGTCTCCTGACCTGTGGTTCTGTGTATATCCCAGAGAGTCACAAACCAATCAGTGTGTATGCAGGAGGGGCACTGGCTTGAGTTAGCAGGCCCTTATTTTGAATCTTGACTTCTCCACTGATTAATATTACATAATAATCCAGCAATAGCTTACCCCTCTGAACCCATGTGTCCCTCCATAAAGGAGAGAAAGCAGTTCTACCACACAGAGTTCCTGTGAAGATAAAATGTGGTAACTCATGAAACCACCACGGTGGCCTTCCCCTCCCCCTTGGAGGGAATCCCACTTGCCCACAGAATGGGTACATTTCCCCGGCACGCACTCCTCTACACAGCCTTGCCCATAGCCCCACAGCCCTGATGGCTGTGTTCTCTGGACTGGCCCCCTGCCCAGCTGAGGCGCAAACTCCAATTTGCTGACCTCCTTCCCTTGACAATGGCTACTGTGTACTAAAAACAGGAGAGAAAAAGGACATGTTTCTACAGCAGCACCAGCAGCCTGCCCTTTGGCTGCTCTCAGTAAGACAAGATACCAGAAACATGATGGGCCATGAGGCTCCCCAGTCTCCTCTGTGGCTTCATGACTCCTTACTAATATACTGACAGCTTTGAAGGGTCATCTAGAATGCTTGTGCTAAGCTCCACCCTGAAAACAGACTCCCAGAAGACTATCACAGGTCAACCCTTCCCTTTCCACCTCTACATTTTCTCAGAGCATCCTGAGAGCACCCTAGGAACACTAGGGAAGGCAAAGCAAAGGCACAGCCCAAGCAGGGGCCCCCACCTGCGTCTCATCCTCAACAGGTGCTCTGGCTGTGCTCTCCAGGTAAGTGGGGTCCTCTTGGTCCTGAGACACATAGCCATTGGCCTGTGGAGAGAGAAAGGTGCCATCACATCCACCGAGAAGTCCTAGACATTTTGTAGAGCATGGGCCTCTTTCTAGCTCACAATGGCCAAAATACATTCCCGTCTCCCCTAGGAGTCTGGAGTCTCTCACAACAGTGTCACAAAAGCCTGCTTTCTAACACTTTGTCAGGCAGAGAAGCAACACAAATAGATTTCAGTAGACATAAAGCTGCCCTAGAGAACAAGAATGCATTAATTCTGCCCACCACCAGGATGGCATTAGGCATTACTCATTGTCAATTCAATCTTGGCTTGAACACTCCAGGTGAAAGAAAGAACGCTATGTCCACTCCACTGCGGGACTGTTTTCTGACCACTTTCAAGATTTTTCTTGGCAATGATCCCAAACTTCCCTCCTGTAACTTCCACCCACTGTCCCTGGTTCTGCCTCTTACAACAATGATCAAATCATTACCATGTCTTGCCCTCCTTCACACTATATCTCTCTGGTTTCCTCATCTGACCTGGTGGGACAAAGTTTCCAGAACCTAACCACACCAGTCCCTCTCCTGCCAAGTCACTGACTTCACATTTTAGAAACGTGCTCCAACTGGGACCAGCAGGTGGCGTGATGGTTAAGGCACTGGACACTCCCACATGGCCAGCCACGGTTCGAGTACCGGACCTGGTGGCTTGCTCTCTCACTTTCCCTTGCTCTCCCCATCTCTCTCTCTCTGATCAAATTAAAACAATGAATGAATGAATAAACACACACACACACACACAGACACATATAAAGAAATGTGCTCCAACCAACAGGGCACACTTTACCAAGAGGTGTGTCAAAACATGGTAAAAGATTATTTTAATACATCTAAGATTCAAGAAGATTGAGACAAATGCCTTATGTCTAAGGCATTTTTTTTCCTGCTTAGAATCCTAATTTCTCAAAAGGATACTTATGGGTACCACTTTAAGAGGTTTTCCTAAAGAGTAGTCAGAACTGTGAGTCTCCTAAATTCTATTACTATTTAAGCCACGAACCCCTTTACTAGAACCTCTTCACCCCTGCTCCTTTCAGGCAAAGGTCCTAGTGGGAGCTCACAGCAAAGGGATGTCTGAGTTCACAGGTGTTTCCCACCAGAACCTTTGAGCACCAATAAAGGGACAATGTGGGAAACCAAAGTTACATGCTGGCTCCAGATTATGACGTATAACATGGAGCTAATCAAGAAGAGGCAAACTACTATGGAATGAGAAGTAGGAATAACAACAAGATGCCAAGTGATGACAAGCTCAAACACACAACACGATACACCCGTATGTGGCTGCATCCAAAACCTTGTCTTCAGCTGCACTTCTAGTGTTCTCTTAGCTTTATGCAGACATGGTGCCCATTGGCCTCTTGGAGAGTGTCATCCTGGAGGCTTTCAGGGCCTAACCCGTCCCTGAGAAAGATGTAGCTTTTGTGCATCCTTCATTTCCTAGGAGAAAAACTGGACTTCATGCTATAGAGCATGCTCTTGTTCTTAAAATCTACCCACTAGATAAATCAAAGTCTTCAACTAGTATTTGTTCACAATTTTGCCTGTTGCTAGGGCATGGAAGATGAAGGAAAGAACCTGGGTGGAACAAGTATCACGAGAACACTTGCATTTCAGTGTGGCTTGTCAGCCTTGCACAAGTTACTTAATTTGCCATGCCTGTTTTTCCTGCTTGCAAAATGCAGATCTCACCACAACAAAGAATGTGAACTGACACTAAGGCCCTTTGAAACCTCAAGAAAAAGCACCCAGTAGAACCTGGTTCATAGCATAATGTGGGTACAATATGGACATTTCTGGTTAATGACAGGAAGCTTATAATCTTTCACTGAAAAAACCTACATAAAGGTCCTTTAGGAAAAAAAAAAAAAAAACACAATTCCTCACATTCCTCTCCTGGTTCCTTGACAGGAAATGCCAAAAAAACAAGCAAAGGGAGGAATGTATAGAGGGAGGTAAAACCTGTCCAGCAGACTGACAGCTAGAGTTTAGGAAAGAGTTGAAGTTCAATCGGGGAGAAAAACTTGCTAAAGCCAACAAGGGAATTAAATGATTTTACTGCAGTTAAATTATGCTATCACATTGGCCTTTATGCCTCAGTGCCTGTCAAGAGCTGAATCAGGGGGCCCAGTCCTGGCAAAGGAGGTGATCGTAAACAAGAGGCAGCAGCCATCTCCAGCATGTGTGAGAACTGACAACACATGCACTGTACCAGCTCTAAGTAACTCAGAGTTCTTTAGACGTGACATCATGCTATTGCAGCCTTCCAGCACCCTACCAAGATCAAAAGTGGTCTGAGATTACTAAGCCCCTCCCTCCCATTGTTGCAGGCTCAAAGTCTTTTCAAGATGACCCAGGAGTCAAGTGACGAAAGTAGATGTGAATGCCAACCTTTCTAGGTCCTAACCCCCTACTATTGCCCAGACCATATAAATAACAGGGTCACTAAGACACTTAAGTAGAGCTATGTGATGCTGCCACCCCTTACACATGGTTAATTTCACTAGCTTCAGTCCAATCCAATCGCTGGCCTACATGTTTGCCTTTCCTCTTCCAGCGGCGTTCTGAAGACAGAGATAGCAAATTACTCCTTTCTGTACTCTCCATGCTCAGTGCAGTCTATGTGCTACTCTTAGGTTACCACTGGCAGGACCCACTGGGATAATGACAAAGCAGCTCACAGTACAACAACATGCCAACACTCCCCACCCTGCAGAGACCCGTGCGAGAGCAGTGTCCCTGTCTCAGGTTTCCCACTCTCCCTTCTCCCAGACAGCCCTTTTTTTTCCCTTAAATGCCACATCCCCAATCCAGCTCAGGAAGACCACACCAAAGGTGATTTCAGTTGGAGGACAAATGTAAACAGAACTAAAGTTGAAGAATTGTAATATCTAGTTCTAAATATTCAGAAATATTTCCGTAACAATAAAATTTTCAAAAAATATCTAACTGGGACATGCATGTATTCAAAACAAAAGCAAAACCTGGTACTATGCATATTACATCTAAAGAAAGCCAAAACATGAATCTGATGTCCAGAAAACATCAACTGCTTCATGCATCAGGAGGTGGAAAGGCTTCACATAATCAAGATATTTATGCTCACACCCCATCCCCACAATGCAAGTAAGAGGAAAATAAGCCCTCAAGCTGGCATAGGTCGGCAGACTACAAATGGGTCCATACCTGCTGGTTTTCCTGAGCCTGGGCTGGGGAAACAGAGGTGGCCTGTGCAGGTGAAGAAGGGAGATTGGGTGAGGTAGGAGGTACTGTGCTGGCGTGAGGCTGGGTCAGGAAGGCCTGCTGCTCAGGGAAGTCAGGGGACAAGGTGGGGGCACGAGTCCTGCCCTCCTGGGGGATTACAGGCTGCTGGCCAAGCACCAAGAACACCAGTTCTTCTTTCTCCCGGCACATTTCGGTAGAGATGTCATGGAGGCTGAGATAGTCCCTCAGGTCCTTCACCTTCATCTTCATGAGCTCTTCCCGCTGAAAGGCTGTGGCTCGGAAACGTTGGCAGAGAAGGCAGAGGCGGGGCCCATTCCCCACTTGGCTCGAACAGGTCATGCAGAAATTTTTCTTACAGTCCAAGCAGGTCTGCTGCTTAGAGCAAGAGGCAGAGGAAACCATGTCAGGTTGAGGGAACAAGAGAGTGTGGGGCAGTGCTTCAAGGTCACCAAGCCCAGCAAGAGCTCCTCCAGTTACTCTCACTTTTACTAAGCTATCTCCTCTATGAAAAGGTACGAGCTACTTTGCAGATTTTAGATTAAAAGTCACTCAAGGATGGCAGACTCCCTGTATGTATCTACATATTCATGTACAGGACACTTCATTATTTCATTTCAGTCTTGTTTTATTCATTTTACTAACAGAGAACCTGAGGTTATCAATGAAGTTTTTTGGTGTAGCTCGGTGGTACAGTCAGTAATAAAGTGCGGTGCTGGAAGTCATATGGCCAACACATATACAGATCCAAGGGCGAGCCTGAAAACACAGAGGGCATGTGTGCATGGACCCAAGATCCTGACAAGATGGGGAGCTTGGAGAAGGGGTCAGAGTAACCAGACCCTGTTGAGAGTGTCTGTCTCTTTCTCGCATATGCACCTGCATGCTTGCACATCCACTATTGTGAAATAAGAAAGAAAAAGGACTACCAGCTTCAGATTCAAAAGGTTATGCATTTTATTAAATCTCCTACTACATTTTTTGAGGTGACATCCTGGATGTGTAACTCAGCATCTCTAATGCTCAATTTCCACATCTGTAAAATGGGGTAATAAGAGTATCTACCTCACTGGGTTGTTATAAAGATGCACATTTAGCATATCTAACACATAATGAGTCTTCAATAAGGACGTGATGTTTTATTACTGCTAGAAATACTAGCTAACGATGAGAGCTGGAATGCAAGCCCTAAACTACATTCTTTCTGCTTTACTGCTGAAGCAAGAAAGTAAATGCATGAAGGTTATAGAGGTGGTTGTTACCATTAATATTTGTACTCATTAAATTTATTGGGCTGGCTCCATGGCCAGGTGATTAAGGTAGCTAGATCCCACATGGCCAACCCCAAGGCTTGAGTCTCTGACTCAGTGACTTGAGAAACATGGTGGGTAAATATGCATGTGTGCCCAAATTCCAAATAGAGGGAGAGATGGAAAAGGGATTACTGCATGACCATTCCCCACTTCTCCCTCTGACTCTCTCTCTGGTGAGTACACATACCCTCTGACAAAAATTAAAAAAAAAATTATGCCAGAAACAAGAAATGACAAATATTTAATTAATAGGGGCGGGGAAGTAGTGTGGTGGTTGGGGTGCTGGACTCCCACATGGCTGACTGCGGTTCTAGTCCCGGACCTGGTGGCTTACTTTCTCACTTTCTCTTTCTTTCTCTGTCTCTGGTCAAATTTTTTAAAAAATAATAACAAATGGAAGGAAATAAATAAACAATTCTTTTAAAAAAAACCCTGCAAATATTCAATTAATAAACAAAGATAATTTTAAAAACCATATTGGGTTATTGTATATTAGAGCTATACCTAGCTTGCTATTTATTTTTTAAAACAATCCTGCAGAGTAGATAATAGTTTCTTCACAGACAAAGCCACACAGGCTTAGAGGGACAAAGTACCACATTCAAGGTCAGACAGCAAAGAGCAGAGCTGGGATTCATACTCAATGTTCTGTCTGAATCTAATGCCCACAGTCACATACTCCATGGCCATGCAGGCCATGCTCCTTAGCTCAATCCCACTCAAGCATACAGCAGGACTGGCTGAGTCAGGCCTGGTTTTCCATCTCCAAATTTCAAATCAGTGTCCTATCCAAGAGGCTGGTGCCAGGCTCCCCACTCCAGGAAGGCTCATTCAGAGTGCTAGGAATTCAGTGGTGCATAAGACCATCTCTAAGACAAATATTTAGACAGCTACGGGAGGCCCTCTGGACATCAGGGGCTCTCATTTGTGAAGTACAGTGCGTCTCAGGCGATGAGAGTGCCTGACAAGCTGGTACTGCCTGGCAGCGGCTATTCCCACAACCACAGACAACACACCAAGGCTTACTCAACTCACAGGAAGCAAAGCTTTGACCTCTTGCCTCTCACCCCACAGGCTGAATGAGCATGGTGACATCTGGTTGAGCTCTGTCCCAGCCAAGAGCAGGACACACTCTCACAGAGGGGCAACTCCCGAACACACTGGGGTAGCACTCTCACTAATCCTTTCAAGACGTTAAAAACTTTTGATCCCGTGGTAACTAAAGTATTAAGCTAAATATTTCTGCTCACTCTTTTCTAAATATAGAAAGTTGTTGAAGCTAAAAAAGAATGCCCAAGAGACTTATTTTTCTCTTGGTCAAGATCAGACACTCTTGTGCAAGACAACTCTATTTAGTTTTTGCCTGAGCATCGTTCATATAGTAAAGACGAATGGACATAATGTTTACCCTCCGGCTTTGGCTAATAAGACTTGGAAGGTGCCGCGCAGGGACACACGTCAAGCTCCCTTATTCTCCACACAGTCATAACAGACAACAAACTGTTCAGAGACTGATTGAAAGGACATGGCTGCACTAGCATCATGACAGTTCTGGGACCAGCAGCCACACAGGTGGAAAATGGATGTTCTGGGGTACTTAGGAACTATTCCTATCTAAAGCTTTTCTATTGGGAAATGAAATGTGTTTAGGATGACTGACAGTAAAATGAAAAGACTTCAGTGTCATAAAGCTGTGGTCCTGACACAGAACATTACTTAAGTCAATGCACATTGATAAGACCTAGCTCGACACAATTATCAAGCCCATGTTGCTCAATCAGCCAGATCCAAACAACTCTGTATTCTTTCTTCAAATGTGTGTGTGGCTTGTTGGATGCAAGATCAGAATGCAAAGACAGCAACTCCGCTTCTGTGTGCTCGCGGCTCACTGGGGATTTTGAAATAAGCCGGCATCTGAAACACACCCTAAAGGAGTAGGATGGAGCTGGAGGCTAAGATCCCACTTTCCAGCAGCAGGAGAGAACAAAGGGAAAGGGAAAAAAGGGCTGTCAACAAATGTGGTCAGAATGAGCAGAGGAAACATTTATGTATAAATTCTAACAAACGGTTCAAACCAACTGAATAACAAGATAGCATGAAAAGATGAATTAGTGGAGGCGTGGTGCTGGCAGAAATGCCCAGAGTCCGTTCAAATGTCAGCATCAAAGAGTGGGCAGCGCGGGAACCAGCAGCTAGCGTAATGGCTATGTGGCTGGATTCCCACGTAGTCGACCGCGGTTTGTGTCCCGGACCCGGTGGCTTAAAACTCACGCCGGGCACGTGTGCGTGCGTGCCCAAGATCCCGAGAGGAGAATGGAGGAGAAGGGATTGCGGCGTGACCATTCCCCCTGGGGGGTGATTTCTCGCTTTCTGTCTCTATGTCTCTCTCTGTCTGTCTGGCGAGCGCACGCGCCCTACAGTGAAGATCTCTCCAAAAAAAAAAAAAAGAGTGGGCAGCGGCACCTTAGGCAGGCCCCACCCTTCAGGGATGCCATGTGGGGCGCCCTGCTTGCTCCCTTTCGATTCTGTCCTGCCCTACCCTTATCTGCTCCCCATCCATCTTCCCTGGCACTGGTCAGACTCACTTTTTCAACTCACCTGTCTAAGGATTGTTAGAAATACTTCATGAGAGAAATGTGTATGACACCTTAGCATAAGGTAGCATACTCACAAAAAGTAACAAAGTCACCTCTCACCTTGTGTTAAGACAGGGTTTTATCATGTCATGATCTTCCTGCCTCAGCCTCCCTGTTGGGATTACAGGTATTTGCCACCACAGCCAGACTTTAGAGTGGACTGAGACTTGAACCTGGACCTACCATGTAGCTCCAGCCTGTGGAGCACAGCGTCTTAGCAGCATGTGGCACCAGAGCTGGGCCAAAAGCAACCTTTCATTCCTTTCCCCCTTTGCCTCATCTCTGAGCTTCTGCAATACCTAAGAACCGCTTCTTTCTTTCCATTCTGAGATTATCACTTCCCTGTTTCCAAGCACAACCTCCTTCACATCCTCAGACCAGTCTAACTAAAAAAGCTGAGTGCCAAATTTCCTCTGTAATTGTCTGGGCCACTGCTAAATCATACGTAGGTGTTACCAATACAGACGCGATGTTTGGCTCTTGTGTCAAAAGCACACCCTGCCATTTCTCTCCAAACCTGGGAAGCCAGAGAATGCAGGGGATGCACCTTACTTATGTTCTCTCTGTAGAGTCCTTAATGTTATCTGTGCTGAGCACCCAGTGAGCATTCAGCAAAGACTGATCATGATGAAAAAAGGAGAAAACAGTAAAATCCATGTAATCATTTCAATTCAGTCACTTCCAAAAAAGACATTTTAAAAGCCTTTGGCTGTTAAATGTCAAACCCTTAAGATAAGAACACTGATCCACTTAAGCATGAAATTATAAATGAAAAATTCCAATAGGAAAAAAACCATTCTTAATATTCACAAAATTCATTGTGAAATGCATGAAACTAATTCAGACTTTTGTAGCAAGAAAAGTGTGTCAATAACCATCTTTTGCCATTCAAATTGGAATTTTTCTTGTCCCATAAAAGCTCTTCTTGTTAGAAACTTTCTTCTCATCTCATAATATGCTGTTTATTGTCCTGGTCTCCCTGTTTCACTGTAAGCTCCCTCTTAGGCAGAGATGACCATCTTCATCTCTGCCTCCCTGGCTAGCCCAGGTAATATCCAACACATGGGAGACAGTCAATCATTTATTTTCCAACAAATAGGAAAAAGTCCCTTGTCGTAATCATTGACATGCTCCTGGGTACTCACGTCTATAACCCTTCATCTTCAACCTGACATGCCCAATGTCTTCTGGGAAGTAGCTATGGAATCAAGGACATGGGTTTGAATCCCAGCTCTACCATTTAATAACTTTATGATCATGAGCAATATTTCAGCACAGAGGGGAAATAATAAGTATTTTGATGTTTCTTATGCTATTTGTCAGGAACTTGACACATACAGTTTTCTTCTTAAATTTTAAATTCTAAGCCTTCATTTCTCATATGCAAAACAGGATTTCAGGGATTCTAAAACCTATTATCATAGTAACTGTAGGATTAAATCAGACAACAAATTCCTTAAAACGGTCCTTTGCATATAGCAGATGGTTTAAAGTTATTATTCCCTCTCAATTTCCCATTAATACCATTTAACATCATATCCTGTCTCTCATTCTGGGCTGCAAATTTCTCATTCTGCAGAAGAATGCATGAATTCTTTATTTTAGTTGCGGTTCACCTTCTGCCCAAGTCATGGTTGACTGTAGAGAACTTGCTGCCTCTGGGCACCGGCAAAGCGATGGCCCATGCCCACCATCACTCAGCCATTGATTTTACTTCCTGCTTGCTAATCTAGGATGCCTGGCCTTCGTGCATTTCCTAAATAGAATCCATTACAGTAAGTAAGTTCCATTCTTTGTCTGTTAGGGTCTTGTTGTACCTGATATATCCCTAACATTGTTTTTGATAAAAAAGAACAGAAGTATCTATCTGTTAGTTAATGAAGGAAATGCCACTGAATGCCGACTATGTTCCAAGCATCGCAATAGACATCCTTCATTGTTCATCCACTTTCATTCTCACAGCACTGGGAAGTGGATACTACTATCGTCCTCATCTTAAGGACAAGGATACTGAATGTCAAGAGAGGTGAAATCATACAGCTAGTACAGGACAAGAATGATAAATGAATTCAGGTCTACTGGCTCCAAACCTAGACTAAGGTACTTTCATTCACTTGGTTAGTTTCGGTTGAACATTTTCATGAAAGGGATGGGGGGTCTGAGTCACCAGCACTGCACAGGTAGAGGCAAGGTGGCAGGCATTCCTAGGATGGTGACACAGCTTACTCAAGTTCCCAAGGCGGTGATTAGAGACAGAGCAGTCTGAGGAGTCGGCACTCACCTTCCTGGCCGTGTTTGCGAAGTGGGCCCCACAGGCCTTGCAGCTTGGTTCTGAGCCTGTTGGAGAAGGGAAGGAGCTGTACCCAGGGTTGGAATAGGCTTGTGACCTGGCTCCCTGAGGTGGTGGGACCTCCTCAGGCTGTCCATCCAGGCAGAACCAGTTGCAGCAGGTTGCCCACATGATAAAATCTGGAAGAAGGGGGGAAAAGGTCAGAGTTAAGACAGACCTCTACCGTCACTTCCATCCCTAGAGGGGATGGGTGGACAAGGATATTCAACCCGCAACTGCTACCAGAGTCAGGGGAGGAGCACATGTTCTCAGGGACTACCGATCTCTTGCCCTCTCTATCAACCACGGACACTGTTCCATGGAAGAGGGGAGTACAGATCACTGATGTCAACTTGGCATACCACCTCTGAAGGATTCCTGACTAGGTTTAATCTGAGATCTAACTTCAAATAATATCTTTTCTCACTGCAACTATAGGCTTAGCACACACTTTATTGTTCCTACAGTTCAGACAGAACTTTCTCTCTCTCTCTCTCTCTCTCTCTCTCTCTCTCTCACACACACACACACACACAGCTACCCACACAGTTCCACACTCACACTGACCATGGGGAGGAGGTATGAGTTCCTTTATACAGATGAGACAACCCAGACTCAAAGAAATCAAATACACAGCTAACACACAGAGAGCTGAGATTTGAAAAACCCAGTCTCCAAATCTAATGTCTTTTTCTTACACCATGCTGCCTCTTCATTTCCCAACCCACAGGCTAGCGAAACTTAACTCTAACATTCGTACCCCTAGTCTACCATGGCAACTGTGCCAGTCTCCTGCACAGATATGTTTACCTGCTTTCCTACTGCTAAGCCGTAAGTTCTCTTAGGGCGGGGAGAATTCATGTCTGTTGTATTCATGTCTGTCCTGCACCCTGCCAGTATTATACACATGGCAGACGCTCAGCAAACATTTGATTCCTTGCTGAATCAGTGCCTCTGCAGGTTTATGAGTACGTTTGGGACTGTTATTCCTATTTAACATATCAAATACAGGTATTGCAGGTTGAGGCATTGATGATTTTTTTTTTAGAATTATTTTATTTAACTTTATTTATTATTATTATCATTATTATTTTCCAGTTTGATCAGAGAGAGAGAGAGAGGAAGAGAAAGCAAGCCACCAGGTCCGAGACTTGAACCATGGTTGGCCATGTGGGAGTCCAGCGCCTTTAACCACCATGCCACTTGCCGGTCCCATAGGCATCAATGATTTTTATGATTACAGAACAAAGAAGATCCAACCCCTCAAATGTCAGAATAACCTAAAGATTCCTATAATATATGAGTCCACAAAAACGCCAAGAACCGCTGTGATAGATCAGTGTTTTTCTCAGCGGACTAAGGTAGTCAGGGCGAATGTTCTGAGTTCAAACTCTTTGTTTACAGAAATAATAAATGAAACATTTAACACTACTATTCAATAATCAGTTCACACAAAAGAACAGTCTGCTCTGTCTCTTGATTGTCTCACTCTTTTTGAACAAAGGCACTTTTATAGCTCAAAGACTCTGTAACTGGAAGGAACTAAGGGAAGATCTGGCCCAACCTAGTCATTTTAGAGGAAAACAATGAGGCCAGCAGAGGGAAGTACCTTCCTGGGTCATACAGCTTATCACCTTAGGACTCGAGCCTTCTCTAGGTCCTTTTAAGGGTTCCAACACCATCTCCAATGCCCCTGTGATATTGTCCATGCTCTCCTGCAGGCACCTGAGTCACTCCTTCCTTCCTTGCCAATGGGAACAGGAACGCACTAAGTGTAACAGTGCCCTGTTAGACAGGTGGCTCACCAAAGGCTATTCAACAAGCAGATCATATGAATGTTTACATCTTTTCAAAGAAATCTTGCCAGAGTGTGTATGTGCTCACCAGAAAGAGACAGAAAGTGGGAGAGAAGGGAAAAATGCATGTTCTCAAGGGGGCGAGGTCACGCTACAATCCCTTCTCCATTTCTCCATCCTGCTGAGATTTGGGCATGCACACATGTGTGCCCAGCATGTTTTTCAAGCCTCTCAGTCAGCCATGTGGGACCTCACTCCCCTGACCACCAAGCCACAGGGCCAGCCTGAAATATTTAAATTTTAACCAACCACACATTCATTCAATTTCCAGCACATCAAAAATATTTCTCTCTTGACTCAATATTACTGTCATAAGGTTTCAGTTCCCAGAAGACAGGAACTTAATCTGCCTTGCTTGTAAGTCACAGTTCACATGGTGTAATAAAGAGTTCTTCTGGGGCTGGCAGGTGGCATGGTGATTAAAGGCGCTGGATTCCCACATGGCTGACTGCGGTTTGAGTCCCAGACCTGGTGGCCTGCTTTCTCACTTTCTCTCTCTCTCACTCTGTCCCTCTCTGGTCAAACTGAAATAAACAAATGAATAAATAAAGTTAAATAAAATCATTGAAAAAAAAAGAGTTCTTCACATAGTGCATGTATTCTTAAATGAGTTCTTTGTTGGCAATAGAATGGGACAATAGAACAGTCACCCTCTGAAAGAGGAATTTTGCAATTGTTTAAGTTGCATATTGATACGACACATCTGAGACTGTATAACACACAAAAACCATGGGACCTGGGATCAGAAGGCCTGGGTGCCAAATCCTGCTTTACCATAGAGCCATGTTTCTACCTCTAATAGGTCATACCTTTTCTGTGCTTCTTTTCTGGTCACTCTGCAGACTGGAAAGCACTTAGTAAATACTAGTTCTCTAGGAAGACAAAGGTTGGAAATAAATCTAGGGATAGCATCGTAATTATCATTTGACTTCCTGGGCTTATTCTCCCTGAAAGGAATAAGGCTGTAGGGACTGTCTCCTAACATTTCTAATCACTCCTGAATATATACAACCTTTATTGAAGCCAATGCTGTGCCATTTCCAGTACTAGGTAAGTCCATGACCATACAGTACAAAGAGGAAACTAAACATAAAACACAAAACTGAAATTTCAGGGTAATTAGTGCTTTAATGGAGGTTTGTAGAGTGTACTGGGGAGGAGTGGACACAAAGAGGAAATGGTCAGTTCTGTAGGGGTAGAGGGGATGAGGTGCCATATAGTCAATCTTGATATGGGAGTTAAGTGGGAATTTACTAGAAAGTCAAGAAAAGAAGGAATTTTCAAGAAACAAATAAATGCATGCACCATGTCTTTAAACTACAAAAAGCTTGGTTAGGTCAGGGATAGGGGTGGGGAAGAGGAGGCATAGTAAGGAACCTGGGCTTTATCCGAGATATAATGGAACAAGATTAAGGAGTTTTGGGCAGCCAGGTTTTATGATTTCATTGTATGTTAAAGTGGGCATGTAAGACTGTGAGCAGTGTGGAGAACAGGACAGCCAGGGTGGGTCAGAAGTAGGATTTGTGATGGGGATCAGCAGGTGCCGTGGTGGTTAAGGTGCTGGACATTCCCACATGGCCAACCATGGTTCAAGTCCTGGACCTGGTGGCTTGCTTCCTCACTTTCCTCTTTCTCTCTGTGTGTCTCTCTCTGGTCAAATTATAATAAATGAATGAACGAATAAAATAATTCTTTTTAAAAAAAAAGGAGTAGGATTTGTGGTAGTCAAGGCAAGTTATGACACGGACATGAAAGAAAGGGCGAGATCTCTAACAATGAGCAGGATGTGTTACTTACCTGAATGAGGTGGGGAAAAGGGAAGAGAAAAGAGACTAGGACACATTCTAGGGATGCTGAATTACACATAGACATGGAATAGACATGGAATCATTTCCTGGATAAAGCCTTCAGGAAGAGATGTGTGTCTGTGTGTGCTGGGAGCAGGAGCAGGTTAAGTATGCATCCGTGGGACATGTTCATGTAGAGCTGGGCACATGTATACGTGGCCGAGCTGAAGATAAATGTTTTGGGCCTACTGAAACTACTAATACATAAAGAATGGGACAGCAGACTGGCTAGATGGTTTGGGTCAGGAAAGAAGGCGAGCTGGAAAAACCCTTGAGATCACTGCATCTAAAGTTCAAACAGAGAAAAGCCAGCAAACAGAACAAAAGAGAACAAATGCTCAGAGGTGGGGGAATGGGAAGAGCATTTTGAATTACAAAAAAAATGATCAACAATGTCAAATGACCCAGAGAACAGAATGCAATGAGGGAAGCAAAATGCCCAGTGGACTTAAGTTTTAGGAAAGTGTATATGCTCTCTGCCTAAGCAGTTTAGGAAGAAAGCTGACTAATAACCATAGGTTGAAAAGGGAGTGAGAACTGAGAATTTGTAAGACTCTAAGGATAGAAATGAGTCTGTGAAATGGGGACCAGCAGGTGATGTGGTGGTTGGGGCACTGGACACTCCCACAAAGCCAACCACGGTTTGTGTCCTGAACCTGGTGGCTTGCTTTCCCACTTCTCTCCCTCTCTCTGGTCAAATTAAAATGAAAGAATGAATGAATAAAATTAAATAAATAATTCTTAAAAAAAAAAAAAAGAAGAAATGTACCTGTGAAAGGAAGAAAGAAGAAAGTAGCTGAACAGTATCTAGGATTACTAAGATTACTATAGAACTCACTGTAGAATAATAATAATAATAAAAAACATACTAAGAAACCACAGTGCAAGGCAATAAATGATGGAAGTAAGGGTGAGTAGAAAAAAAAACGGTCAAGTGGTCAGATTGGCAGATGGACTGTTTCTGGGCAGGAGAAATGTTCTCTCTTTCATCAGAAAGTGAAGCAGAGATAAAAATAGATGTAACCAAGGTAAGTTGGTACCAGCAACACAAAGGTGAAAGAATGAAATAAAAAGGGAAGAGGGGATAGATTAAATTACAAGGAGAAAATACATGTTTCTTCCACAGAAGGAATCTAGATGTTGTAAATTTTCCCTAAGAAATAATGACTTTGCAGGTTGGCCCAGAGTGCAGTGGTTAAGAGCTGTGCATTGAAAGCTGAATCCCACAGGGCCAACTAAGGTTCCAACTGGCCTTGGTGGCTTAAAAAAATACATTAGGAACATGTATATGCAGGCCCAAAATCCTGATAGGAAGGAGAAATGAGGAAAGCAATTACAGCATGATCACATCCCACTGGAGAGTTCGTTCTCTCTGTCTCTCTCTCTCTAATGAGTACATGCAACCCTTTGGTAATACCTTTTTTCTTTTTTTAAAAG